AAAAAAAAAAGATGGTGAGCACAGAATGCCCTTCACTGTCAGAAGGTAGGTATGGGGAGGTCAGAAAGCACAAAGGAAGTATCAGGGAAGAGAGATCAGTCAGCATTGTAAAATATTCCCCCACCATACTCACATTACAATTTCAAAAGAAAAACTATGAAGAGTGCAGCAGTTACCTCCTTTCTCTAATGGGCAAAGCTTGGACCATGGTACTTCACAAGCCACAGACCAGCCTCTGGATTGGCTGTCCTTGGCTAAAGTGCCCATCCTGGTTCCTTCACCTGTTGCCAGAGGTACGGGATCCTGGAAATCTATACGGTGATTTGTGCAAAAGAATCCACCTGAAACTCACATGGAGGGGACCATGGGTGTGGCAGGCTTTCCACTGAAGGCCCTTACTGTTACCTACAAAGGAAATGATTCTTGCTCCTCTCACTCTTGTCCTTTCCTTCCTCCAGGGCCCTGTACTCAGAAGGAAAGTTACCTAAAGGTAAGGCTTGTCCCTTTTGCAAAGGGCCACGATATACTGTCACTCTAAGAAACTTATGGGAGGGAAACTTGCAAATCCACAGAGATCTGCCCTAGGCCGAGCAGAGGCAGGGGTGGAGGAGGCCATCACACTCTCCCTGTCTAAGCTCAGGGTACTTGGCAGGCTATATCTACCAGCAAGTGCCTGCCTGCAGGGCCACTTCTGGATGAGTGGGAGGCCAGATTTGCCCCGAACCTGTCTAGCTTTTTCACACCTCTGGCATTCTTCCAGTCTGAACTCAATCTCGTTCCCCAAACAATTAGCCGGGTTGTAAATGACTGCTATGCTTGATGGACCAATATGCCTGAGTGAGGAACTCTTCCTAACCCACCTGACCATTTACTGCATGACCTCCAAGCTTAGGCCAGTTTCTGGTCTGTCATACTTCACAGGAGCGATATGAAGATTCAGTGAATGAATGCATAAATAGTTCATGCCCTTTCTGTGTGGAAAGACTGAAGGGAGCTTAGCAAGCCATGAAGTCTTTGGAATATGACTATAGTTTGTTTGATTCTTTTTTTTT